CACACACACACACACACACACACACACACACACACACACACACTGTGATACACAGTCACACACACACACACACACACACACACACACACACACACACACACACACACACACACACACACACACACACACACACACACACACACACACACACACACACACACACACACACACACATACTAACACACACACACACACACATACTAACACACATACACACACACACACTATAATACACAGTCACACACACACACACACACACACACACACATACTAACACAGACACACACACACACACAATAACACACACACATACTAACACACACACACACACACATACTAACACAGACACACACACACACACACACACACACACACACAATAACACACACACATACTAACACAGACACACACACACACACACACACACATACTGACACATACACATACACACACACATATGAACACATACACACAGACACACACACACACACATACACGCACACACACACAAACAGACACACACACACACACACACACACACACACACACACACGATTGATGTGCACGCCTGCAGGGTTTGTTTGAAATAGTCTTTATTACATATTTGTGATGATCAGAAGTCAAACGTGAATATTATTCATTGTATTATTCTATATCTGTGACTGTGTATCATTGTGTGTGTGTGTGTGTGTGTCTGTGTGTGTGTGTGTGTGTGTGTGTGTGTGTGTTTCTACCTCATTATTCTTTTAATTTCTTTCTTTTTTTAAATAAAGAGTTTATTTTAAAGAGTCCCTATTCTTCTTTCTGGCTTTCTCCTGTAGTGTGTTCTATATATTTTAGTGCATGTCAATGGTCTGCAGAGGCTAACATCCCTGTGTTTCTCTCTCTCTTTCATTTGAAGGGATTTCTGATGGCATTACGTTACGGGCTAAAAAGATGAAGAGGTTTTTATTTTAATGAAGTGATTCCTCACAATGAGTTTCTCCTCTAACAGAAATTAGCTTCACATTAAAGCTACAGTTTGACCTCTGACCTCCACAATCACTGCAATAATAGAGCTGAATCGAACCATCTGCCACACACACACACACACACACCCCGAGGCTCCATCAGCCATCAATCAGCACACATACAGGAATATAAATGAACCGCTTTATCTCATCTGGACAGACACAACCCCCCCCCACACACACACACACACACACACACACACACACACACACACACACACACACACACACACACACACACACACACACACACACACACACACACACACACACACACACACACACACACACACACACACACACACACACACACACACACACACACACACACAGTATGCTTAACTAGGTAAAATGTTTGCCTTGCTTCCATACTTTATGCTAAGCTAGTTGTTGGCTCTGCATTAATTTGTGATGCTATTGCTACTGCTTTCAGTCTTGATGCTAAGCTAGCTATTTACCACTGCTTTCAGTCTTGATGCTAAGCTAGCTATTTACCACTGCTTTCAGTCTGTATGCTAAGCTAGCTATTTACCACTGCTTTCAGTCTGTATGCTAAGCTAGCTATGTAACACTGCTCTCAGTCTGTATGCTAAGCTAGCTATTTACCACTGCTTTCAGTCTGTATGCTAAGCTAGCTATGTAACACTGCTCTCAGTCTGTATGCTAAGCTAGCTATTTACCACTGCTTTCAGTCTGTATGCTAAGCTAGCTATTTACTACTGCTTTCAGTCTGTATGCTAAGTTAGCTATTTACCACTGCTTTCAGTCTGTATGCTAAGCTAGCTATGTAACACTGCTCTCAGTCTGTATGCTAAGCTAAACTAAGCTAGCTGTTTCCCCTGCATGACATTTGTTTTAACCAGTGGCGAGCCGTGAGCTTTATACCTAGGCCCTCTGACCCCCACCAATTCCCTCGAAAAAAAGAAAAAAAAAATAGTTATTACGTCACAGCGTATACTTCAGCGGAATATCAAAACAACGGCCCAGGGTGCAAAACGCATCAATGACAGCGACCCTCTATCACACAAAACAACACCTGTGAACCCAATTTGTGTTCTTTGACATTGAAAATGATATTGCATTGTGTTTGTTACTTTCGTTGCAGTTGTATGTCTTAAGTGTAATTTGGCATGCTTTTATTTTGAAGGCGAGTTCACGCTGTTGACAGGAAGTTGTTGTTGCTATGGAAACAAGAAAAGTTTCACAGCGGGCGGAACTTGTCATAAAGTCCGCGATAATAAAACCCACCCATTTAGAGGGAAGATATGATTGGTCAATTGTACTGTCATTTGACATTACTCTCTCGTTCAGTTACTATAGCAGGCCCTCTGTGAATCGCAGAGAGGGCCAGACGAGCTTCTTTCATGTAACCCTTCACATTCATCAGAGACTGAACAGGCAGATTCCAAGGATTTATTTCTTTGGAAATGTTATTTTAAATACAATTAAATCAAGTTTTTTTTCGGTAAAACTAATGAAAAATATAACAAAAATAATATTAAAAAAATATATATTTAAAAAAAATATATTTTTTTAAATGTTTTTAAATATTATTTTTTAGAATATCTTAGGCCCTCACAGAGGGCCTAGAGGGCCCTGACGGCTCGCCACTGGTTTTAACTAATCTGGATAAAAGAGGCAGAGTACATTTAAAAAGTACAAAAGAAAATTAAATACTCATTTATTGTACTTCAACATCATCATTAAAAAGATGTACACAGATATTTAAGAAAATAAATTACCAAATACTTTAACAGTTCATAAAAATAACTTGAGTTCATTTGAAATGAAACACTTCTTGGTAGTGTTCCCGTCACAAATCAGAAAACATAAATACAGATTCTCAGATATACAAAAGATAGCATCGAGCAGCTGCAGAGGGTTTTATCTGAAGTGCTTTTGTCAAAATATGAAACTACAACTGAGAAATAAACGGTACAAGAAACACATTTACAATATGATGCTAAAAAATAAAATAACACGTTCAGGCGGCCAAGTGCAAAGAAATAACTGAGCTCCAGATGTTTGTCTTTTTTGTTTGAGGTCATTATTGAGTCTTTGGTCCAGAATACAAACAAGGTTACAGAAACATATTTCCCCCGTCGCTCTTCATCGTTGAATCCTCTTCGGTATTCTTGAAAAAGTAAAAAATGTGTTCCATATTTCCTGAAAGTGTGGTCAGGGTGTGTTAGTGGAAGCAGCCGGCCCCTAACACACGTCGACTCTTCTAAAAATTCACATTTGATCAAATATTATCGCTGATTTTCATTATTGTAAAAACGTAATTTGTTCTTGTTTTTAATCCCAGGCCATTTTGAATGATGACATTTTTCCGGGTGTCTTTGTTGTTTGTTTTGATGTGTGAGGGACTTCCTGGTGATGGAACACACAATCTGCACAAAACACCTTAACTTAAGAGTTTCTTTAAGTCTTCTTCTTACGGTTTCCTTAAAAAGTTCCCATATTATTTACATTTGTTCCCCTTATCTTAACACTGACTGTAGCCGACTGTAGATAACTGCAACTGACTGTAGCTAACTGTAGCTGACTGTAGCTAACTGTAGCCGACTGTAGATAACTGTAACTGACTGTAGATAACTGTAGCTGACTGTAACTGACTGTAGATAACTGTAGCCAACTGTAACTGACTGTAACTGACTGTAGCTAACTGTAGCCAACTGTAACTGACTGTAGCTAACTGTAGCTGACTGTAACTGACTGTAGCTAACTGTAGCTGACTGTAACTGACTGTAGATAACTGCAACTGACTGTAGCTGACTGTAGCTGACTGTAACTGACTGTAGATAACTGTAGCCAACTGTAACTGACTGTAACTGACTGTAGCTAACTGTAGCTGACTGTAACTGACTGTAGATAACTGTAGCCAACTGTAACTGACTGTAACTGACTGTAGCTAACTGTAGCCAACTGTAACTGACTGTAGCTAACTGTAGCTGACTGTAACTGACTGTAGCTAACTGTAGCTGACTGTAACTGACTGTAGCTAACTGTAGCCAACTGTAACTGACTGTAACTGACTGTAGATAACTGTAGCCGACTGTAGCTGACTGTAGCTGACTGTTGACGACTGTAAGTGACTGTAGCCTACCGTAGCTGACTGTGGCTGACTGTAGCTGGATGTAACTGACAGTAGCTGACAGTAGCTGACTGTAACTGACTGTGGCCGACTGTAGATAACTGTAGCTGACTGTAGCTAACTGTAGCTGACTGTAACTGACTGTGGCTGACTGTAGCTGACTGTAGCTGACTGTAGCCGACTGTAGATAACTGTAGATAACTGTAGCTGACTGTAGCTGGATGTAACTGACAGTAGCTGACAGTAGCTGACTGTAGCTGACTGTAGCTGACTGTAGCTGACTGTAGCTAACTGTAGCCGACTGTTGTTGACTGTAGCCGACTGTAGCCGACTGTAGCTGACTGTAACTGACTGTAGCCGACTGTAACTGACTGTAGCTGACTGTAGCTAAGGGTAACTGACTGTAGCCGACTGTAGCTGACTTTAGCTGACTGTAGCTAACGCTAACTGACTGTAACTAACTGTAGCTGACTGTAGCTAACGGTAACTGACTGTAGCTGACTGTAGCCGACTGTAGCTGACTGTAGCTGACTGTAGCTGACTTTAGCTGACTGTAGCTAACGGTAACTGACTGTAACTAACTGTAGCCGACTGTAGCTGATTGTAGCTGACTGTAACTGACTGTAACTGACTGTAGCTGACTGTAACTGACAGTAACTGACTGTAGCTGACTGTAACTGACAGTAACTGACTGTAGCTGACTGTAACTGACTGTAACTGACTGTAGCTGACTGTAACTGACTGTAGCCGACTGTAGCTGACTGTAACTGACTGTAGCTGACTGTAACTGACAGTAACTGACTGTAGCTGACTGTAACTGACTGTAACTGACTGTAGCTGACTGTAACTGACTGTAGCCGACTGTAGCTGACTGTAACTGACTGTAACTGACTGTAGCTGACTGTAACTGACAGTAACTGACTTTAGTCGACTGTAACTGACTTTAGTCGACTGTAACTGACTGTAGCTGACTGTAGCCGACTGTAGCTGATTGTGACATCAGGTGATTCCAGTTTAAAGATTACATGATGATCGGTCCCTCAACTAAGGTGAAATAAAGCCTTAAGTGCTTAAGGTGTTTTGTGCGTCTGGAATGTATTTCCTGTTCCTGGGGCCTGTTTCCTCCCCCCTTGCCCCCCGTCGTAGAAACAGTCCTCGCTGATCATGGAAGTCATGCTGTGAACGCTGTAGTCTCTCTCCAGGAGCCCCCCCAACTCCCCCCCCTCCCCCCTCAGGTTGTAGCTCCGCCTCTCCGCCCCTCTTGGCTCCGCCCCTCCCTCAGTGAAGTGCAGATTCTGTAGCTGAGCCTCCAGACCCCCTGTCAGAGAGGAGAGTCGGGTCTTGGGGGTCTGGTTGCTGTTGGGGGGGAGTGCGGGCTCCTCCCCCCCCCTCCCCCGGTGCCTCCTCCTCTGTGCAGACAGTCTGGGTCTCCTCAGGGAGCCGCAGGGGTCCCGGGCTCTCAGGAGGGGCCGCAGAGCGCAGAGCACACGGGCCTTCATCTCCACATCACTGCAACACAAACACAGGACCACCAAACATTTAAAGGTCTCATATCATGCAAAATGCACTTTCTGATGTCTTCTCTACATCACCATGTGTCCCCGGTGTGTCAGGAGACTCTCAAAGTGATGTCTTCTCTACATCACCATGTGTCCCCGGTGTGTCAGGAGACTCACAAAGTGATGTCTTCTCTACATCACCATGTGTCCCCGGTGTGTCAGGAGACTCACAAAGTGATGTCTTCTCTACATCACCATGTGTCCCCGGTGTGTCAGGAGACTCACAAAGTGATGTCTTCTCTACATCACCATGTGTCCCCGGTGTGTCAGGAGACTCACATAGTGATGTCTTCTCTACATCACCATGTGTCCCCGGTGTGTCAGGACACTCACTAAGTGATGTCTTCTCTACATCACCATGTGTCCCCGGTGTGTCAGGAGACTCACTAAGTGATGTCTTCTCTACATCACCATGTGTCCCCGGTGTGTCCCCGGTGTGTCAGGAGACTCACAAAGTGTCAGAAAATAAAACCCTCTCTCTTTTCCTCCGTACCCACATCTCTAAAAACGGGGGAACAACGGAGCTGATCCAGATTTGCTGCGTCATGACGACATTATTAAAATGTGGGCGGGCTTTACACCCACGGGCCAATCAGAAACGTTGCTGTCAGAAACAATGAGACGTGTTCTGGAAGTAATATGGTCTGTGTTTACATTAGCATCGCTAACACTGTGTGAAAGGTGATGTCTAAATAAAGTTTTATTATAACGTCTCAAAAAACTCTCACTTACTGTTTACACTGAAGAAATTCTCTGTGAAAGATATAAATAATAAATCAACTAAATATAATCATAAACAGTGTTACCTGCTGCAGAGCTGGAACACGGTCTCCGGCCGACCCTCGACCTCCGACCTGCAGTGAACCAGCTCCAACACACACTCGCTGCCCGAGCCTGAAACACAAGCACACACACATTATGCTAAGCTAGCTGCATGCTTACACCTGCTTCAAGTCTTTATGCTAAGCTAAGCGTTTCCCCTTGTTTCCAGTCTATTTGCTTAGCTACGCTAGCTGTTTCCTCTTGCTTAGACTCTTTATGCTTAGCTACGCTAGCTTTTTTAACCTGCTTCGAGTCTTTATGCTAAGCTAAGCATTTCCCATTGTTTCCAGTCTTTGTGCTAAGCGAAGTGCTCCCCCTTGTTTCCAGTCTATTTGCTAAGCTAAGCTAGCTGTTTCCTCCAGCTTACACTAATGCTTAGATGAGCTAACTATGTACCACTGCTTTCGGTCTGTATGCTAAGCTAAGCTAGCTGTAGCTGAAAACCCAAATACACACATTTCTGCAGCAAAATTATTAATCAGAATCAGAATTCCTTTCTTTAAATATTTACGGTATTACAACAGCAATTGTATATTGCAGATTAATAAAAACAGTAGACATATTGTATAAAACAGAAGGCGCACGTAGTTAATAATAAAAAACACAATAAGTACAAAATAAATACTACAGGTACAAATACGTGGTTACATGCAACTTGTTTATTTTTATAATTGCTCTTTGACTCTGGGCACTGACCTGTGAAGTTGGCCGGTCGGACCTGAGCCTGTGAGACTGGGATTAACCAGCGGAACCTGAAGGGGTCCAGATCAGCTGATCGAGAGGCGGTCTGTCAACAATCAACAAAGATATACATATAAGGTGAACTCAACAAAAGCAGGCATTTCCATCAAACTGCACACGTCCAATTACTGTATTCCTTTAATTAGTTATTACGCAATACATCCCAGTTTCATTAAAGTCTCAGCGACGAGGAAATGATCTGACCCACCATCCTCTTCTTCAGCTTGATGTTCTCCCGATACACCAGGACGACCGCACGTTTAAACACTGAGGAAGATAAGATATATGGGCTCAGAACAGTCTCATAATGCACACAGAAGGATTCACACTTGTATTTCAGGATCCACACTTGTGTTTTTCAATGCTCACACAAATGTGTTCCGTTTCATATTCATGTAAATAAAATCCAAATACAGAAAAAAGTTTTACATATGTATTTTTGATCCTCACATATTTGTTTTCCGTTTAAATCCCCTGAACCTGCAAACACAACCCGCTCTCTGTGCATGGATCGCTGTGCATTCGTGTGTGGGTTTTTTGAGACTCCCCTGACGGTCACCCGATTCGTACTTGTAATTTTTTCTATCTATAGCCAATCAGATGTCTCCTTCGTTCTAAGCCAATCACATGAGCGCGCCCCCACGAGGGTATGATTTATTGCGTTCATGACACTTCATATACGCATTTGGCGCAGTCCGGAGCAGGGTTTCCGCGGACAGAATTTAATTTTACCGGACAAATTTGAAACTTACCGGTCATGTTTCAATAATAATAATAATAATAAGAAGAATTGTGTAGCAGAGTTTCCGTTAGCAGGTAATTACCGGACTATGACCGGATATGGCTAATAACACGGGAGTAAGGATCATCTCTTTTCCTCTCTCCCTCCCTCTCTCCTGACAGCCCGTCAGTTTCTCATGCAGCTCGCTAAAACTTCACTCGCGTTTATGTCCATATCGATCAGATCCAGCTCTCCTGATCGGCCTTTATAGAGAGCACCGATCAAACTATTAAGAGTGACGGCCGATAATGACCGGCGGGGCTCCCCCCCGTTGACAGTTCACTGTCTAGCACTGGCTTCGTAGTGCACTGATCGATTAGGCTAAGCTAACCTGTAGCTGCTCCCTCCACACTCACAACAACTTCATACAGACATCAATAAAGCAGCTGTATTCGCCATACAGGAAACACACATTTAAAACGGTTTTGCCTGCCGTTTTTATGTACACAAGCATTCATTAATGGTTCGGAAAGTGGCACTGTACCTTAATAATATAAAGGCTTGTATTTGCGTGCATTTCCTGCTCGGAAAGTGGCAATGTACTGAGAGTGGAGGTGTCCTGAGATTAGCGCCTGCAGGCTCCATGGACCTGTCAGCTCCGGACAGCGCAAAATGCGTACATGAAGCGCTACGTCATGAACGCAAGAAATCTACCCTCATGTGATTGGCTTAGAATTGAGGAGACATCTGATTGGCTATAGATAGAAAAAATTACAAGTACGAATCGGGTCACCGTCAGGGGAGTCTCAAAAAACCCACACACGAATGCACAGCGATCCATGCACAGAGAGCGGGTTGTGTTTCAGGTTCAGGGGATTTAAACGGAAAACAAATGTGTGAGGATCAAAAATACATATGTAAAACTTTTTTCTGTATTTGGATTTTATTTACATGAATATGAAACGGAACACATTTGTGTGAGCGTTGAAAAACACAAGTGTGGATCCTTCTGTGTGCATGTGTGTATTATGAGACTGTTCTGAGCCCATAAAGATAAGATAAAAACTACTTTATTGATTCCAATTTGGGAAATGTTTGTGTTAAAAAGACAAGGCATTGTACAATACAAATTAAAAGACTAGAAATAAATAAGTACAAAATATACATGTTGAATTACAAATTTACAGTAACAAATATAAAGCACACACACACACACACACACACACACACACACACACACACACACACACACACACACACACACACACACACACACACACACACACACACACACACACACACACACACACACACACACACACACACACACACACACACACACACACACACACACACACACACACACACACACACACACACACACACACACACACACACACACACACACACACACACACACACTTGTAGAATAAAGTTGTTGCACGCACCGAACAGCGTGAGCTCCGGCTCTTTCTTCAGGCGAAGGCTGGGCAGCGGGTTCAACCAAAGCAGGGAGGAACACAGCAGGAAGCCGCCCATCGAGAGCGCCACCACCTGGGGAGACATGGGTACTGCATTCAGGAAGTAAGGGGAAAATAAACCCCTCCAACATCACACAGCCAGGTGGTGGTAAGTTAAGGTAATTTGACTTAAGGGAACGGAAATGTAAAGTAAGTCAATTAAGGTAAGTTAACAGTAATTTAAGTTAATTTAAGTTAAGGGAACAGTAAGTTGATTTAAGGTAAGTTAACAGTAAGTAAAGTTAATTTAAGTTAAGGGAAGAGAAAGTTAATTTAAGTTAAGGGAACAGTAAGTTAAGTTAATATAAGTTAAGGGAACAGTACGTTAAGTTAATTTAAGTTAACGGAACAGTAAGTTGATTTAAAGTAAGTTAACAGTAAGTAAAGTTAATTTAAGTTAAAGGTGGGGTAGGTAAGTTTGAGAAACCGGCTCGAGATACACTTTTTGTTATATTCCATGGAATGCTCTTAACATCCCGATAGCAATGAATATCTGAAGTGCTTTGACAAAATATCCATAATAAATATCATCTGTGGAAGCAGTAGTACTGTAAAAAGCACGACCAATCATCTGAGCCGGCCCGGCTAAAATAACTGGATGGCCTACCTGCCTGTCAGCCTTCCATCTGTGCACAAACTTATCTGGTGCCCTCATTGGTCATGTGCGCGTTCGTGTGTGTTGGAGGAGGGGCTCTGTGAGGAAGTGGCACATTTGTTCCGGCTGTGTATTTTCAAATTCTAGCGCACTCGAGCTGGTTTCTCCAAAATTACCTACCCCACCTTTAAGGGAAGAGTAAGTTAATTTAAGTTAAGGGAACAGTAAGTTAAGTTAATATAAGTTAAGGGAACAGTAAGTTAAGTTAATTTTAGTTAAGGGAACGGTAAGTTATAGTAACTTAATTTGATTTAGTTAAGGGAACGGTAAGTTGATTTAATTTAAGTTAAGGTAGCAGGAAATGTAAAGAAAGTCAATTAAGGTAAGGTAACAGTAAGTTAAGTTAATTTAAGTTAAGGTAAAGGGTAAATTAAGTTTAGGGATTGGCTGAGGTAAGCTCGGCTAATGGGTGAAATAAGTTAATTTTAGGTAAGTGTGTGAGTGTGACATGTGTGTGTGTGTGTGACAGGTGTGTGTGTGACAGGTGTGTGTGACAGGAGTGTGTGTGTGACAGGTGTGTGTGTGTGACAGGTGTGTGTGTGTGACAGGTGTGTCTGTGTGACAGGTGTGTGTGTGTGACAGGTGTGTGTGACAGGAGTGTGTGTGTGACAGGAGTGTGTGTGTGACAGGTGTGTGTGTGTGACAGGTGTGTGTGTGTGACAGGTGTGTGTGTGTGACAGGTGTGTGTGTGTGTGTAACAGGTGTGTGTGACAGGTGTGTGTGTGACAGGTGTGTGTGTGACAGGGGTGTGTGTGTGACAGGGTGTGTGTGTGTGACAGGTGTGTGTGACAGGAGTGTGTGTGTGACAGGTGTGTGTGTGTAACAGGTGTGTGTGACAGGTGTGTGTGTAACAGGTGTGTGTGTGTGACAGGTGTGTGTGTGTGACAGGTGTGTGTGTGTGACAGGTGTGTGTGTGTAACAGGTGTGTGTGACAGGTGTGTGTGTAACAGGTGTGTGTGTGTGACAGGTGTGTGTGTGTGACAGGTGTGTGTGTGTGACAGGTGTGTGTGTGTGACAGGTGTGTGTGTGACAGGTGTGTGTGTGACAGGTGTGTGTGTGTAACAGGTGTGTGTGACAGGTGTGTGTGACAGGTGTGTGTGTGTGACAGGTGTGTGTGTGTGACAGGGTGTGTGTGTGACAGGGTGTGTGTGTTACAGGGTGTGTGTGTTACAGGTGTGTGTGTGTAACAGGTGTGTGTGTGTGTGACAGGTGTGTGTGTGTGACAGGTGTGTGTGTGTAACAGGTGTGTGTGTGTGACAGGTGTGTGTGTGTGTGACAGGTGTGTGTGTGACAGGTGTGTGTGTGTGACAGGTGTGTGTGTGTAACAGGTGTGTGTGTGTGACAGGTGTGTGTGTGACAGGGTGTGTGTGTGTAACAGGTGTGTGTAACAGGTGTGTGTGTGTTAATAAGGTGTGTGTGTGTGACAGGTGTGTGTGTGTGTAACAGGTGTGTGTGTGTGACAGGTGTGTGTGTGACAGGTGTGTGTGTGTGTGTGTACCTGTTTGTCAGTGTATTCTGCAGCCAGCTGGTCGAACACGCAGCCAAACTCCTCGTAGATTTTCTGCATCTCGTTGATGTGCGACGCCGCATCCTCCATCGCCCGCAGCGCCTCTGAGGGACAGCAGGGGGAGACACTGAGACCTGACAGCAGGTGTGTTCAGGTGTGTGTGTGTGTGTGTGTGTGTACCTCTGAGGTGTGTGTGTGTACCTGTGAGGTGTGTGTGTTCAGGTGTGTGTGTGTGTGTGTGTGTGTGTGTGTGTGTGTGTGTACCTGTGATGTGTGAGTGTGTACCTGTGAGGTATGTGTGTTCAGGTGTGTGTGTTCAGGTGTGTTTACCTGTGAGGTGTGTGTGTTGAGGTGTGTGTGTTCAGGTGTGTTTACCTGTGAGGTGTGTGTGTTCAGGTGTGTGTGTTGTTTTCAGGTTTGTTTACCTGTGAGGTGTGTGTGTTCAGGTGTGTGTGTTCAGGTGTGTTTACCTGTGAGGTGTGTGTGTTCAGGTGTGTGTGTTCAGGTGTGTTTACCTGTGAGGTGTGTGTGTTCAGGTGTGTGTGTTGTTTCAGGTTTGTTTACCTGTGAGGTGTGTGTGTGTTCAGGTGTGTGTGTGTTCAGGTGTGTGTGTGTTCAGGTGTGTTTCCCTGTAAGTAACTTCAGGGAAAACTCTGGGTTTCCGGTCCTACGACGCTGGTTCTCTTTTTAGCGGGCTAGATCTCCATGGTAACTTATGCTGAACGGCTAACCTGGTCCGTAGCAGGTTAGGTGGCAGGCTAACGGCCTAACGACACATCGGCGTGCGTTGTTGATTGCCGGCGGGCATGTCTGAAGCTAGACCAACAACCAATCACCTGAATCTCCCGCCCCGGACACACAAGCAGCGGTTTGATTGGCTAGAGCTTGTACTGGCATATGATTCGATTGGCTGACGCTTCCGTCGAAGCTTCAAAAGTTGAACATTGCTCAACTTTTGCAGCGAGCAACGCAAGCAAAGCTACGCTTCGCTCCCACAATGCAGTTCGGCGAAGCGTGACGTCACCCCATTCAAAGTGAATGGGCTGAAGCGTTGAAGCTTTAACGCACGCCGCTGTGTGGACGGGCCGTAAGAGATCAACTCAGTGAAAGCACCACCTGCTGACCAATCAGAGCTCAGCGTGCAGAGTTTAAAGCGATCAATTCATATTACAGGATAGAGGAAATACAGAAAAACTGCCGTTGCAGGAAAGACGGCCGGCAAAAATCACCTGACTGTGTGAACGTGAACATTAATAGAATATCCCCTCCTCCCATCTTCAGAGCAATCTGACTATTATAACATTAGCGTTAAGAAAGCTTACTTAAATATCTGCCACGACATAAGTAACCGGATCAGAGTAACATTACGTACAGTCCGCGGCACTGTGAGTGCAGACGTCGATGTGTGCCATTATCATTCATATCACATCACATCATAATGTATCATATATCTCCTTATCTGAGTCAGCTGAGCCGTATCTGGCCGTGCAACACTCACAGTGTCACATACTGGATGCAGAAGTATTATTTTAAGCAACACATTAAGTTGATGAAACACTCGAGTCAAATGTAATGAAAGTCAGATCGTGTCTTAGACGGGGCAGTGATATCATAAACCTGTTAATGTACGCATTCAAACACTTTCTCTGTTACCAGCTGTATTCACCTTGCAGGTGCAGCTGTGTGGCTTTGATCCTGGGTAAAGTGTTTAAGTCATGGATGTTTAAAGTTTAACGTCTTCATATTTGACTAATATTAAAGTTCACTTTTCATTCAGGAAGTATGACGCTGCGCTGTCAGTACGCTTGTCCATGTTTGTGATTGGTCAAATGTTGCTAACCCCGCCCCTTCTATGTGAACGCGCACATAACCAGATAGGGCAAAGCTGGCTTGAGTTAACGAGTTGATAACCAGCGTCGTAGGACCGCTTAGCGAGAGCGCGTTTGTTTTGGATTAGGTAAGCCGGGTGACTCAAACATATCCAGGTTAGGTTAGACCGGCTTCGTCGTACAGGCCTCTGGTGTGTGTGTGTTTACCTGTGAGGTGTGTGTGTTCAGGTGTGTGTGGGGGGGTCAGGGTCACCAGCTCTCTCAGTAACAGAGGATATTTCAGGATTCGCTGCACAGGTTTAATCAGGAACGACTCCAGAGACGCTGAGTGCTGATTGGTCGGATTCCTCGTCTCCAGGAAGTGCTTAAAGTCTGCGTCTGTCTTTGCTGAGAGAACAATAAAGTTTATTTTAAAAAACGAGTAAACTTCTGTTTATAGATAATTAAATAATAAAGTATAACTAAAATAAGAAGCAATAACAAAATATTAATATAAGTTTTTCTGAATAAAGCAAAACCTAAATAATAAAAAATAACTAAAATAAAAGGGAATAATAAACTATTTCTAGAATATTAAAGCTTGAAAGATAAAGTATAAATTAAACTAGATAGTGAGTCTTTGAACGCACCTCTCTCCAGGACCTTCTGCACCTTCAGGTGATTGGCACAGAAGCCGCTGTAGTGCTTAAAGCGATCGGCGTAGAGCAGGAACGACCCGCCGAGCGACGAGAGCAGTTTCTGAGAGAGAGAGGAGAGTTAGAGTTCATCGATGCATTCATCTCAAGTTAACAGATGCCCCTTTCACACCAACGCGTTTTCAGCGCCGGCTCAGAGCTAGAGCCTGAAAAGTACCGTTTTTTCCTGTTCACACCGCAGCGCCTCTTAGCTCCGGAATCCGGTTCACTTCCAGCTCCAAAAAATTGTCGGTCTAGAAGCAAGAGCTTCGGAGCTAAGAGGCGGCGTCGCTTACGTCTCTCTTACGTCGAGGCGTGCAGGAAACTAAACCCACCTCCCCTGAACATGGGTCGACTGAAGAGTCTCGTCATGCCTGCCTACAAGCAGTAGCGCTGAGCAAAGTGACTAGAAGGCAACCACACACTTATAAAAAACCACACTTTATAAAGTCAGGCAACACTAACCAGGCTTCGTGTGATTCTGTTTATTTGTACCTTACTTTGACCATCCGTTCACTGTTATTGATCATTGTGGAGAGCAGGCAGACGTTTGTTATTATAGCAGCTATCGGATGGAATCAATACATGGGCTGCACAGGTTGTCATGTCCGACTATCACAAGTAGAATCATAATGAAAAATACGCCGTCATCACCCATGTTATACCAGAGAAACTTTCATAACAGCGTTGTGATGCCAAACAGCGTCAATTCAGACTGACACACATTCACTTAAGGGGAACTGGGGATATGTATCAGCTGCTTGTGTGACAGTCAGACAGTGAATACTTTAGAGCCGTGTGAGCTAACCCGGAGCTAACGGGAGAATACACTCCCGTTGAAGAGCAGCAGCACTGCAGCGGTCGCTAAATGAAACACATTAATAAACAATGAACCACGGCACTCTGGAGAAAAGTATAAGGTTGGAGAAGTCGTTATTTAATTTAATCTGGCTTCGTATGATTAAAAGCAACACGATCATCGACCCGACGCAGTCCCCCGTTGTTGTTGTTGTTGTTGTTGTTGTTGTGAGCTCCGTTGGGGAGAAAATCAGTGATGTAAACTGTGACGTCATGACGCAGCAGCGGCAGCTGGGCGGTGTGAACAGAGCGGGAGCTGAAAAGGGAAACCGGAGCTGAACCAGAAAAGCTCTCGCTAGGAGCTAGAAAGGGAAAAGCGCTGGTGTGAAAGCCACAAAAGAGCTCAGAGTAAGTTACTTTAAGTTAAGTTGAATTTAAGTTAAGGTAATTTGAATTAAGTTAACAGAGAGCGTGTTTAAGGTAAGTTCATTTAATGTAAGTTATTTTAAGGTAAGTTTAATTTAAGGTAAGTTATATTTAGGTAATTTTAATGTAAGGTAAGTTTAAGTTAAGGTAAGTTAATTTAAGGTAAGTTTAATTTAAGGTAAGTTAATTTAAGGTAAGTTATTTTAAGATAAGTTTAATGTAAGGTAAGTTTAATTTAAGGTAAGTTACTTTAGGTTAAGTTAATTTAATTTAAGGTAATTTGAATTAAGTTAACAGAGAGCGTGTTTAAGGTAAGTTAATTTAATGTAAGTTATTTTAAGGTAAGTTTAATTTAAGGTACGTTTAATTTAAGGTAAGTTAATTTAAGGTAAGTTAATGTATGGCAAGTTTAATTTAGGGTAAGTTCAGTTAATTTAAAGTGGACCTATCATGCTATATCTGAATAATATAGTGTAGGACCATACCTATATAAGGCATATTTATACTTTTTTTTTTTCAAAATACCAAACAGATCATGCATTTTAGCCATGCCTCATTTTGCTCAATTTGACATTTTTTAGCTCTGTTTTTAGCAAGGGCTGATTCAGTGAGAACAGCACCATCCTACAGGCCTGGCATATGTACTACAGCGTCTCCAGCGCTTTAGAACGGCAATGGCCGTGGCTGTCTCCTCCTGATTGGTGGAGTTGGCCCAATAGCCGTAGCGCCACCTGTCCTGACGTCAGGACAGTGTTCAAATCTGGATCAGTTTTGATCAGATCCGTTGCAGCCCCTTTTTTAGAGATTTGGGTATGGAGGAAAATAGAGAGGGTTGTGTTTTCTGACACTTGGTGAGTTCCCTGGAACACCGGGGACACATATTCATGTAGAAAAGACGTACACAAGTGCATTTTGCATGATAGGTCCCCTTTAAGATAAGTTTAATGTAAGTTGAGTTAAGGTAAGGTAATTTAGGGTAAGGTAAGGTAAGTTAAGTTGAGTTCATTTAAGGTAAGTTTAATTTAAGATAATTTAATTTAAGGTAAGTTAAGTTAATTTAAGCTAAGTTATTTTAGGTAAGTTTAATTTAAGGTAAATTAAGGTAAGTTATTTTAAGGTAAGTTTAATTTAAGGTAAGTTAAGTTAATTTAAGGTAAGTTTAATTTAAGGTAAATTAATTTAAGGTACATTTAATTTAAGGTGAGTAAAGTTAATTTAAGGTCAATTTAAGGTAAGTTAAGTTACGGTAAGTTAAGTTGAGTTAATTTAAGGTAAGTTTAACGTAAGGTAAGTTTAATTTAAGGTAAGTTTAATTTAGGGTAAGTTTAATTTAAGTTAAGTTAATTTAAGGTAAGTTAAGTTCATTTAAGGGAAGTTTAATTTAAGGTAAGTTAAGTTGAGTTGAGTTAATTTAAGGTAAGTTTAATTTAAGGTAAGTTAATTTAATGTAAGTTGAATTTAAGATAAGTTAATTTAAGGTAGGTTTAATTTGAGGTTAAGTTAATTTAAGGTAAGGTAACGGAGAGCATGTTTAAGGTAAGTTTAATTAAAGGTAAGTTAAGTTAAGGTAAGTTAAGTTAAGGTAAGTTAGGTTGAGTTAATTTAAGGTAAGTTTAATTGAAGTTAATTTAAGGTAAGTTAATTTAAGGTAAGTTAATTTGAGGTTAAGACAATTTGAGGTTAAGTGAATTTAAGTTAAGGTAACAGAGATTAGTTTAAGGTAAGTGTTATTTAAGGTAAGTGTATTTAAGGTACGTTTCATTTAAGGTGAGTAAAGTTAATTTAAGGTCAATTTAAGGTAAGTTAAGTTACGGTAAGTTAAGTTGAGTTAATTTAAGGTAAGTTTAATTTAAGGTAAGTTAAGTTAAGGTAAGTTAAGTTGAGTTAATTTAAGGTAAGTTCAACGTAAGGTAAGTTTAATTTAAGGTAAGTTTAATTTAGGGTAAGTTTAATTTAAGTTAAGTTAAGTTAATTTAAGGTAAGTTAAGTTAATTTAAGGGAAGTTTCATTTAAGGTAAGATAAGTTGAGTTGAGTTAATTTAAGGTAAGTTTAATTTAAGGTAAGTTAATTTAATGTAAGTTGAATTTAAGATAAGTTAATTTAAGGTAGGTTTAATTTGAGGTTAAGTTAATTTAAGGTAAGGTAACGGAGAGCATGTTTAAGGTAAGTTTAATTAAAGGTAAGTTAAGTTAAGGTAAGTTAAGTTAAGGTAAGTTAGGTTGAGTTAATTTAAGGTAAGTTTAATTGAAGTTAATTTAAGGTAAGTTAATTTAAGGTAAGTTAATGTGAGGTTAAGACAATTTGAGGTTAAGTTAATTTGAGGTTAAGACCATTTGAGGTTAAGTGAATTTAAGTTAAGGTAACAGAGATTAGTTTAAGGTAAGTGTTATTTAAGGTAAGTGTATTCTGAGTGTACCTGCAGCTGCTCCGGTGCCTCCAGGTTGGGACAGGAAGAGATTTTCTCCTCCAGCGTCTGCAGGAAGACTCTCTGGAAGTCCAGCATCTCAGGAAGGCACCCGAACAGAGCCTCCATCTGAGGGCCAGAAGAACCACTGCACCTGAATGCCTCTTCACTCTAACACACACTGTTTAACATCAGAAGAACCACTGCACCTGAACGCCCCTTCATTCTAACACACACTGTTCTCAGAAGAACCACTGCACCTGAACGCCTCTTCACTCTAACACACACTGTTATCAGAAGAACCACTGCACCTGAACGCCTCTTCACTCTAACACACACTGTTTAACATCAGAAGAACCACTGCACCTGAACGCCCCTTCATTCTAACACACACTGTTCTCAGAAGAACGACTGCACCTGAATGCCTCTTCACTCTAACACACAGAAGAACGACTGCACCTGAATGCCTCTTCACTCTAACACACACACACTGTTATCAGAAGAACCACTGCACCTGAACGCCTCTTCACTCTAACACACACTGTTATCAGAAGAACCACTGCACCTGAACGCCTCTTCACTCTAAAACACACTGTTATCAGAAGAACCACTGCACCTGAACGCCCCTTCATTCTAAAACACACTGTTATCAGAAGAACCACTGCACCTGAACGCCTCCTCACTCTATCAACACACTGTTATCAGAAGAACCACTGCACCTGAACGCCTCCTCACTCTAACAACACACTGTTATCAGAAGAACCACTGCACCTGAACGCCTCTTCACTCTAACAACACACTGTTATCAGAAGAACCACTGCACCTGAACGCCTCTTCACTCTAACAACAGACTGTTATCAGAAGAACCACTGCACCTGAACGCCTCTTCACTCTCACAACACACTGTTATCAGAAGAACCACTGCACCTGAACGCCCCTTCACTCTAACACACACTGTTATCAGAAGAACCACTGCACCTGAACGCCTCTTCAATCTAACACACACTGTTATCAGAAGAACCACTGCACCTGAACGCCTCTTCACTCTAACACACACACACACACTGTTATCAGAAGAACCACTGCACCTGAACGCCTCTTCAATCTAACAACACACTGTTTTCAGAAGAACCACTGCACCTGAACGCCTCTTCACTCTAACACACACTGTTATCAGAAGAACCACTGCACCTGAACGCCTCTTCACTCTAACACACACTGTTATCAGAAGAACAACTGCACCTGAACACCTCTTCACTCTATCAACACACTGTTATCAGAAGAACCACTGCACCTGAACGCCTCTTCACTCTAACACACACTGTTATCAGAAGAACCACTGCACCTGAACGCCTCTTCACTCTAACACACACTGTTATCAGAAGAACCACTGCACCTGAACGCCTCTTCACTCTCACAACACACTGTTTAACATCAGAAGAACCACTGCACCTGAACGCCCCTTCATTCTAAAACACACTGTTATCAGAAGAACCACTGCACCTGAACGCCTCCTCACTCTAACAACACACTGTTATCAGAAGAACCACTGCACCTGAACGCCTCTTCACTCTAACAACACACTGTTATCAGAAGAACCACTGCACCTGAACGCCTCTTCACTCTAACACACACTGTTATCAGAAGAACCACTGCACCTGAACGCCTCTTCACTCTAACAACACACTGTTATCAGAAGAACCACTGCACCTGAACGCCTCTTCACTCTCACAACACACTGTTATCAGAAGAACCACTGCACCTGAACGCCTCTTCACTCTAACAACACACTGTTATCAGAAGAACCACTGCACCTGAACGCCTCTTCACTCTAACAACACACTGTTATCAGAAGAACGACTGCACCTGAACGCCTCTTCACTCTCACAACACACTGTTGATTAATAACAAAAGTTATTGTTTGTTTACCTCTTCTTTACTGAGGAAGCTCTCCGTCTGCAGCGGGGTCAGGTAAAGGTCGAACAGACACTCCAGGTCCTTCATGAGACATAATAACATATTTATTACTACAGAATACACACTTAGACACCCACACATTCACAAACAGCAACAACTCAATTGCAACTCACTAATAATACTGCATTTCTCCAGTAGAGTTACTCTGTAGTCTCAAAGCTCTCTATCTGTATGTGTAATCAGTGTGTAGTTCAGGTGCTCACCTTGACGTAGGACTTCTCGGTGTCCACCAGCTCCTGGATGACCTTCCTCAGCCGCTGGGGGGGGCTCAGGTGGGGGGGGCTCAGGTGTGCGGGGCTCAGGTGGGGGGGGCTCAGGTAAGGGTTCCTGGGGACGTCAGGCTCCGCCGCTCGGCATTCTGGGAAGGTTTGGTAGAGAGCGTGGACCCGCTCTACGTTCTGAGAACAGAAAGAAACGAGGGCACTTTAACGTTTACATCATGACATACAGGAAGCAGGAGAACACATAGAAACAGAGCAAATAGAAGAAATATAGAAACTTAAGAAATAGAAGAAATATAACTAGAATAATGTTTCTGATGGTTCCAGTTCGACCCTGGGGGAGGACGCTCGTTCATCATCCTGCTGCCACACTCTAATAACTGCTGACAGGACCATAAATCCACCCCCCCCCCCCCACATACACCCACCCCCCCCCCCACATACACCCCACCCCCCCCCCCCACATACACCCACCACCCCCCCCACACAGCAACATATTCAACAATACATCTCTAAAGGGGTCATTGAACGCATCACGGAACCGCAGCAAGATTTCCTCTCTGTAAGGAAGAGCAATACTTAATGGTGGTAATTCTTTACGGGGGGGGGGGGGGGGCCGGGGGGGTGGGGGGGGGGAGGGGACGAAAGTAAAAGATAAGGTTTATTGATCTGCTATTAGTTGTATTGACTCATTGTGTAGTCCTCAAGCTGCTGTAATAATAGAATCACTTCTGATTAGCAGTTACCAGGAGTCTCTCTGACGGCAGACAGCAGCTCAGAACACCCCCCCCACATCTTCCTCCTCTTCCTCCTCCACCCTCCTCTTCCTCCTGCAGCACCTCCTCGTCCTCCTCCTCCGGCAGAACCCAGCAAAGAGCTCCCATTGGTCGAGGGGGTTTATGGACCCTCCGAGGACTACGCTAACCCGCTAACCCGAACAGACGCCATTAACCCCCCTCCAGCTCAGATTCTCACACACACACACACACACACACACACACACACACACACACACACACACACACACACAAGTAATTATCAGATTAGCAGAGGTCATGTGACACAGGAAGGTGTCTGAGCCTCAGGGTGCATTGTGGGAAAATATTCTGCAGGTGTGGAGGGTAGGGGAGGAAGAGGAGGAGGAGGAAGAGTGTGTGTGTGTGTGTGTGTGTGTGTCTCTCACCTCTCTCTGCAGCTCGTCGTCACAAAACAGGAAGCAGAACTGTGGAGGACAGAGATCAGGGAGTGAAAATCTGCTGGGCTTTTTATAAAGATTTTAAAAAGTGTGTGTGTGTGTGTGTGTGTGTATGTGTGTGTGTGTGTGTGTGTGTGTGTGGTGTGTGTATTGTGTGTGTGTGTGTGTGTGTGTGGTGTGGTGTGGTGGTGTGTGTGTGGTGTGGATTCTCACCAGTCCTCTGCAGAGTTCAGAGAGAGACTTTCCTGAGAGACCGCTCACACTCCTGAAGCAGCAGAGCAGCGTTCAGGTTATTTAATTGAAAATGAAGCAGGTAAAACCAGACGAGATGTACAGTATGACATCACAACGTAACATGAGAAAGTGTTTATAGGGATATCAGTGAGTCAGTGAACGCACCGTTTGAGCTGCAGGACGTCCAGCAGGACGTGCTGTCTCCCTCTGACACACACACACACCCACACACACACACACACACACACACACACACACACACACACACACACACACACACACACACACACACACACAGCACACACAACGACACTCACACCACACACACCACACACAACACCACACACACACCACCACACACACATTCTATTTTCACAAAAACAGGGATATGGGGGGGGTCTTCATGTTGGGGGGGAGGGGGGGGGGTGGCATTTAACTGGAGGAATAATCTTGGAGAAATCCATCACTAAATAACACGTGGCTCCTATTGGCTAGCAGCTTCCAACACATTGTACCTGATAGGCTAAGTGGGCAAGGACATCTCTAAGTGGTTGGACCCCCAATCACAACAACAATTATTATGCCTCGTACGTGTCACCCTTCCTGGTGATGAACCTGATTCTGATTCTAAACAGGGCCGACCAGCTGACCAATCAGAGCAGACTGGGCTCTGTTTTTTGTTTTTACCCTGGGTGCTGGTGCTGGTGCTTCCCTTCGTAGTGTCCGGCAGCTGGCCCCTGCTGCACACCTGAGGAAACCCCACAGAAAACAACTTGTAAGGGAGTGCATTTCAAACTGCTGCTGGTGCAATAAGATACTTCAACACAACAATCAGTATATACAAAATAACAGTTACTTCAAAATCTGTGAAAATGTGCATGAGTGCCAGCCCGTCCGTAGCAGCGTGAAAGGTGTCATGAAACTAACCGTAGTTTTATGACACTTTTAAAGGGTCTCACCAGAGCGTGGAAGGAGTTGACAGAGAAAACCCCCAGGCGTCCCAGCATGCACTTGGAGGGCCGCGTTGCCACGGCGAGGAGGTTTTTGGGGTTTGGGGGTTCGTCCCCCTGCAGGCTGGACTGATAACAGCGAAACCGGAACAGATCCAGGTTCAGCTGCTCCAGGTTCTGATCCCACTGCTGGATCTGAACACAGCGGCACGCTTTAGATTACCACTCAAAGTACTGACACTACACTGTAAAAGGTACAAATACTACACTGTACTGACACTACACTGTAAAAGGTACAAATACTACACTGTACTGATACTACACTGTACTAATACTACACTGTACTAATACTACACTGTAGGAATACTACACTGTACTACTACTACACTGTACTAATACTACACTGTAAAAGGTACTAATACCACGCTGTAAAAGATGCTGATATCACGCTGTAAAAGGTAATAATACTACACTGTAAAAGTACTACACTGTAAAAGGTACAAATACTACACTGTAAAAGTACTACACTGTAAAAGGTACGAATACTACACTGTAAAATCACTACACTGTAAAAGGTACGATTACTACACTGTAAAAGTACTACACTGAAAAAGGTACAAATACTACACTGTACTGATACTACACTGTAAAAGGTACTACAACTGTAAAAGGTACAAATACTACACTGTACTGATACTAACACTGTAAAAGGTACTACATTGTAAAAGGTACTAATACCACACTGTAGAAATATACTGATATCACGCTTTAAAAAGTTACTAATACCACACTGTAATAGGTAATAATACTACACGGTAAAGGTACTACACTGTAAAACGTACAAATACTACACTGTAAAAGGTACAAAAACCACACTGTAAAAGATAATACTATACAACTGTAAAAGTACTACACTGTAAAAGATACAAATACTACACTGTACTAATACTACACTGTAAAAGGTACTAATACCACACTGTAAAAGGTAATAATACTACACTGTAAAAGGTACTACACTGTAAAAGGTACTATACCCACGCTGTAAAATATACTGATATCACGCTGTAAAAGGTACAAATACTACACTGTAAAAGTACTACACTGTAAAGGTACAAATACTACACTGTACTGATACTACACTGTAAAAAGGTACTACACTGTAAAAGTACAAATACTACACTGTACTGATACTAACACTGTAAAAGGTACTACATTGTAAAAGGTACTAATACCACGCTGTAAAATATACTGATATCACGCTTTAAAAGTTACTAATACCCAACTGTAATAGGTAATAATACTACACTGTAAAAGTACTACACACTGTAAAAGGTACTAATACCACACTGTAAAAGATAATACTAATACACTGTAAAGTACTACACTGTAAAAGGTACTAATACCACGCTGTAAAATATACTGATATCACGCTGTAAAAGGTACTAATACCACGCTGTAAAAGATGCTGATATCACGCTGTAAAAGGTACAAATACTACACTGTAAAAGTACTACACTGTAAAAGGTACGAATACTACACTGTAAAAGTACTACACTGTAAAAGGTACGATTACTACACTGTAAAAGTACTACACTGTAAAAGGTACAAATACTACACTGTACTGATACTACACTGTACTGATACTACACTGTAAAAGGTACTACACTGTAAAAGGTACAAATACTACACTGTACTGATACTACACTGTAAAAGGTACTACATTGTAAAAGGTACTAATACCACGCTGTAAAATATACTGATATCACGCTTTAAAAGTTACTAATACCACACTGTAATAGGTAATAATACTACACTGTAAAAGTACTACACTGTAAAAGGTACAAATACTACACTGTAAAAGATAATACTAATACACTGTAAAAGTACTACACTGTAAAAGATACAAATACTACACTGTAAAAGGTACTAATACCACACTGTAAAAGGTAATAATACTACACTGTACTGATACTACACTGTAAAAGGTACTAATACCAAACGCTGTAAAAGAATGCTGATATCACGCTGTAAAAGGTAATAATACTACACTGTAAAGGTGCTACACTGTAAAAGGTACAAATACTACACTGTAAAAGTACTACACTGTAAAAGGTACGAATACTACACTGTAAAAGCACTACAACTGTAAAGGTACGATTACTACACTGTAAAAGTACTACCTGTAAAAGGGTACAATACTACACTGTACTGATACTACACTGTAAAAGGTACTACAAAACCGTAAAAGGTACAAATACTACACTGTACTGATACTACACTGTAAAAGGTACTACATTGTAAAAGGTACTAATACCATGCTGTAAAAATATACTGATATCACGCTTTAAAAGTTACTAATACACACTGTAATAGGTAATAATACTACACTGTAAAAAGTACTACACTGTAAAAGGTACAAATACTACACTGTAAAAGGTACTAATACCACACTGTAATAGGTAATATACTACACTGTAAAAGTACTACACTGTAAAGATAATACTAATACACTGTAAAAGTACTACACTGTAAAGGTAAGAATACTACACTGTACTAAATACTACACTGTAGAAGGTACTAATACTACACTGTAGAAGGTACTAATACCACACTATAAAAGGTACCAATACTACACTGTAAAAGTACTACACTGTAAAAGGTACTAATACTACACCTTACTAATACTACACTGTAAAAGGTACTAATACCACACTGTAAAAATGTACTAATACCACGCTGTAAAATATACTGATATCACGCTGTAAAAGGTAATAATACTACACTGTAAAAGTACTACACTGTAAAAGGTACGATTACTAGACACTGTAAAGTACTACACTGTAAAAAGGGTACAAATACTACACTGTACTGATACTACACTGTAAAAGGTAACTAACACTGTAAAAGGTACTAATACCACGCTGTAAAATATACTGATATCACGCTTTAAAAGCTACTAATACCACACTGTAAAAGGTACAAATACTACACTGTAAACTGAGACTACACTGTAAAAGGTACAATACGACACTGTAAAAGGTACTAATACCACACTGCAAAAGATAATACTAATACACTGTAAAAGATACAAATACTACACTGTAGAAATGTACTAATACCACACGGTAAAGGTACCAATACTACACTGTAAAAGTACTACACTGTAAAAGGGTACTAATACCACGCTGTAAAATATACTGATATCACGCTGTAAAAGGTACGAATACCACACTGTAAAAGGTAATACTACACAACACTGTAAAATATACTAATAACCAACGCTGATATCACGCTGTAAAAGGTACTAATACCACACTGTAAAAGGTAATAATACTACACTGTAAAATATACTAATACCACGCTGTAAAAAATACTGATATCACGCTGTAAAAGGAACTAATACCACACTGTAAAAGGTACTAATACCACGCTGTAAAAGATACTGATATTACGCTGTAAAAGGTACTAATATCACGCTGTAAAAGATACTGATATCAAGCTGTAAAAGGTACAAATACTACACTGTACTGATACTACACTGTAAAAGGTACTACATTGAAAAAGGTACTAATACCACGCTGTAAAATATACTGATATCACGCTTTAAAAGCTACTAATACCACACTGTAATAGGTAATAATACTACACTGTAAAAGTACTACACTGTAAAAGGTACAAATACTACACTGTAAAAGGTACTAATACCACACTGTAAAAGATAATACTAATACACTGTAAAAGTACTACACTGTAAAAGATACAAATACTACACTGTACTAATACCACACTGTAAAAGGTAATAATACTACACTGTAAAAGGTACCAATACTACACTGTAAAAGTACTACAATGTAAAAGGTACGAATACTACACCTTACTAATACTACACTGTAAAAGGTACTAATACCACGCTGTAAAATATACTGATATCACGCTGTAAAAGGTACCAATACTACACTGTAAAAGTACTACACTGTAAAAGGTAATAATACTACACTGTAAAATATACTAATACCACGCTGTAAAATGTACTAATACCACGCTGTAAAATATACTGATATCACGCTGTAAAAGGTACTAATACCACACTGTAAAAGGTACTAATACCACGCTGTAAAATATACTGATATCACGCTGTAAAAGGTACTAATACCACTCTGTAAAGGTAATAATACTACATTGTAAAAGATACTAATATCACACTGTAAAAAGTTTTTTCAGAAACTTGTTTCATAGAAAATAATAGTTTAACTGTCAGCATTGAACTGGGGAAATCTCTATCAGTAACCCCCCCCCCCCTCCCTCACCTGGCTCTCCCCCCCCCTCACCTGGCTCTCCCCCCCCCCTCCCTCACCTGGCTCTCCCCCCCCCCTTACCTGGTTCTGCACCGCCCTCCTGCTGTTCGCCTCCCTGATGACGGACAGCTGCAGTTCGGCCATTTTCTTCATCCTGCCGTCCGTCTCAATGTTCTCCAGCAGCTCCTGGCTCTGCAGGCGCAGCAGCTGCAGTGTAGCCCCACCCCCCCGCAGCGTAACTCCGCCCCTCCGCAGCATAGCCCCGCCCCCCCGCCGCGAATGCAACGCCGCGCTCGCCGAGTGCAGCGCCGTCACCCAGGTCTCCAGGTCCGGCTGGCTGGTGGCCTGCAGGGAAATAAAGTAAGTACATTAGAAAATGTATTTATAATTTATTTTGGAAATAAAATAAAATACACAAGTAAATAAAAATTAGATAAGAAAAAAAACTTTAAAAACAAATATTGTATAAAATATATAAAAATATCTCCTCATATTTAAAGACTTCAAGTGTAAGATATTTACTTGTCATGTATTACGTTCTTGGATATTTACTTCAGATGGTTGATCCTTTTGTGCATGTGATGTCAGGGACTGATGGTGCGTTCAGGGACCCTCAAACATATACAATAACAGAAGTAAATCATATAAAATAAGAAGTGTTTTCTGCTCTCACCTGCAGCAGGTAGACGTCGGCGTGCCCGTTGCTCAGGCAGAAAACGTTTTCTCTCTTCGGATGTTCCGGGACGTTCTGCACCAGGCTGCCCTCCGTCCGCACGGAGAAACACGGGGACGTTTCTGCGTCCGAACTCACGCTTTTACCGTACGTGTCATAAAAAAGCAGCGTGCAGCCTGAGGGGAAACACAGTTTTACAATGTAATATATTTAAGGATTTGTTTCACAGTGTGTGTGTGTGTGTGTGTGTGTGTGTGTGTGCGTGTGCGTGTGGCGTGTGGGTGCGTGTGTGCGTGTGTGTGTGTGTGTGTGCGTGTGCGTGTGTATGTGTGTGTGTGTGTGTTGTGTTGTGTGGTGTGTGTGTTGCTTTGCGTGTGCGTGTGTGTGGCGTGTGTGCGTGTGTGTGTGTGTGTGTGTGTGTCGTGTGCGTGTGTATGTGTGTGTGTGTGTGTGTGTGTGTGTGTGTACCCTTCAGAGTGACCCAGTATCGTCTCCAGCGGCGGCGCGACACCAGCTCCAGCTTCCTGTCTCTGTTCACGGAGAGGAGAGGTTTGAAGGAGAGCCAGCCGGCCCGGCGCACAAAAAGAACCTCCTCCTCCTCCAACAGAACCTCCTCCTCCTCCAACAGAACCTCCTCCTCTAACAGAACCTCCCCCTCCAACAGAACCTCCTCCTTTAACAGAACCTCTTCCTCCAACAGAACCTCCTCCTCCAGCAGAACCTCCTCCTCCTCTTCCTCCCTCGCTGTTTAAAGCCCGTCTTCAGCTCATGCATGAAGTTCTGGTAGACGTTCTGCCGCTGGACCTCCTCGCTGCTCTGGTTCTGGTTCAGACTCCTCCAGGGGAACACTGGGACCTGGTTCTGCTCCTGGTTCTGGTTCAGACTCCTCCAGGGGAACACTGGGACCTGGTTCTGCTCCTGGTTCTGGTTCAGAGCGTGCAGAGGGTTGCAGATCCACAGCCCAGAGTCCGGCCCGGTCAGACCTTCACTGCTGCCGTACGGCTCCTGAAGGAGACAGACTTCATTTTAAAGGGTTCCTATTGTGCTTTTTTTAGTCATAATTACAGCTCTCAGATATCAGGACATGTCTCTGAAGTGTCCTGCTCCAGACCCCAAACTGATCCTTGTAGCCCCCCCCCTCTCTTCCAGCTGTTACTAAGGACATGTCTCTGAAGTGTCCTGCTCCAGACCCCAAACTGATCCTTGTAGCCCCCCCCCCTCTCTTCCAGCTGTTACTAAGGACATGTCTCTGAAGTGTCCTGCTCCAAACCCCAAACAGATCCTTGTAGCCCCCCCCCCCCTCTCTTCCAGCTGTTACTAAGGACATGTCTCTGAAGTGTCCTGCTCCAAACCCCAAACAGATCCTTGTAGCCCCCCCCCCCTCTCTTCCAGCTGTTACTAAGGACATGTCTCTGAAGTGTCCTGCTCCAAACCCCAAACAGATCCTTGTAGCCCCCCCCCCTCTCTTCCAGCTGTTACTAAGGACATGTCTCTGAAGTGTCCTGCTCCAAACCCCAAACAGATCCTTGTAGCCCCCCCCCCCCCCTCTCTTCCAGCTGTTACTAAGGACATGTCTCTGAAGTGTCCTGCTCCAAACCCCAAACAGATCCTTGTAGCCCCCCCCCCCCTCTCTTCCAGCTGTTACTAAAGACATGTCTCTGAAGTGTCCTGCTCCTAACCCCAAACTGATCCTTGTAGCCCCCCCCCCCCCCCCTCTCCTCCAGCTGTTACTAAAGAGCTGACTCTGGGTCAGTAGCTTCAGAGAGAGAGTAGATCTCATCAGGAGAACTCTCCCAGCAGAAACTCAGCTAAATGCTGCCGTGACTAAACTCCATATTATGTTCCAAACCACATGAAGGATCCTCTCTGAAACAGTATGGAGCTCAAACTCTTTCTCTCTCTCAGGTTTACCACAAGGTGACTTCCTTTTGATTTCCTGCTTCTTCACACACACTCTCTCCAGTACAGGTTAGCTCTGAGTGTTAGCATGCTAATGTAAACACAGACCATATTACTTCCAGAACACGTCTCATTGTTTCTGACAGCAACGTTTCTGATTGGCCCGTGGGTGTAAAGCCCGCCCACATTTTAGTAATGTGGTCATGACGCAGCAAATCTGGATCAGCTCCGTTGCTCCCCCGTTTTTAGAGATGTGGGTACGGAGGAAAAGAGAGAGGGGTTTGTTTCCTGACACTTTGAGAGTCTCCTGACACACCGGGGACACACCGGGGACACACCGGGGACACACGGGGGACACACCGGGGACACACCGGGGACACACCGGGGACACACCGGGGACACACCGGGACACACGGGGGACACACCGGGGACACACCGGGGACACACCGGGGACACACCGGGGACACACCGGGGACACGTAGTGATGTAGAGAAGACATCAGGAAGTGTGTTTTGTATGACAGGACACCTTTAATGTGATACAAACTGCAGTGGAAGGCAGTAAACAGACTCATCAGAAGGTGGTCTCTCACCTGGACCCTCCTCTTCTTCCGGGTCAGACTTCCTGTCCAGTCGCTGAGGCGGCGGACGCTCTTCAGGAAGTCTTTGCGGCTGTTCCCAGGGGCGGCAGCGGGGGGGGAAGAGTTACACTGCAACACCAGCGCTGACGAAGAGGAGGAGGAAGAAGAAGAGGCATCCATCGAGGTGGGGAAGGAGGGGGGGTCAGTCTGCAAACACAGAGAAGTACTCAGAGCAGGTACTTTAGTAAAAGTAGAAGTACTCAGAGCAGGTACTTTAGTAAAAGTAGAAGTACTCAGAGCAGGTACTTTAGCAAAAGTAGAAGTACTCAGAGCAGGTACTTTAGTAAAAGTAGAAGTACTCAGAGCAGGTACTTTAGTAAAAGTAGAAGTACTCAGAGCATGTATTATTATAATAAAAAAACACATTTTAAAAATAAATAAATACAATAAATGAGATATTTGGGGGTCTACCGGGGGCCATGGAAGTTTCAGAGTCTTCAGGACAGGGATCAGGATCAGAGAGTCTCCGAGGCCGCTGTCCCCCGAGGAGAAGGTGGTGGAGGGGGGGTTGTCCGTCAGCTCCCCCCCCCATGAGGAATCAAACCAGGACCCGTCGGAGCTGAGCGAGCTGCCGTTACTGCCGTCTTTAGTGAGCAGCACTTTGGGGGAGTCACCCCCCCCTCCAGCCCCGTTACTCCCCCCAGAGAAGAGCCCAGCGCGCCGCCTGACGGGGGGAACACAGAATAAAGCTTTATTTATAAAATGTAATTGGAATTATAATTTCATATAATTTAGTTTCATTTTTCATGGTATGCACAACTTAATGTATAACAATTATTCACAAAACATCTCTCTGTAAACGCACCGTACCCGAAAAGGAGCAGGGAGAAACCAATAATCTGATGTCACCTGCCCCTTTCTCAAAACAATAAATAAATAGAAATAGATGGTCTGTCCTTCATATTTTCTTCTTCACAGCCAATCATAACAGTATCGTAGGAAAATAAGAAAAACACAAGAACTTACCAAAACAAAAACTTAGTTCCCACAATCATTTACATTTGCTAATTAGATTCTTAGATCACCAACATTTCTTGACTGGGATGTGTAATAATGGAGTCATGTCCTTATAAGGAACTGGCAAACCAAAATATTGGATTGAAAAATGAAGTAATCATATTATTGCAATTTAAAGAAGTCCAGTGGATGTCTAGGCCCCCAAAACACAAGTTCAGACAACAAAAATACTTGTAGATTACGAAGGAGTCCCACTTCTACTAATTTTGTTTGTTTTTTGGATGTGTAAACTGTCTAATTGTTGAAATTGTTGAATAAATAATTAAAAAAAATAGTCGTGTCTTATCTGTCGGAGAGAAATCAGTATTTATTTTATTGTATTTTACTTTTATTATCATACATTTTACCTCCTTGTGTCTCTTAACCTGAATTACAGTGTGGTATTGTTATTTTTTACAGTGTAGTATTAGTACTTTTTACAGTGTAGTATCACTACTTTTTACAGTTGGGTATTAATACCTTTTACAGTGTGTTATCAATATTTTTCACAGTGTAGTATTACTACTTTTTACAGTGTGGTACTAGTAATAATTTTACAGTGTGATATTAATATCTTTTACAGTGTAGTATTCGTGCTTTTTACAGCGTAATATCAGTACCTTTTAGAATTAAAAGTTAAAATGTCAGAATCTTTTCACAGAGAGAATAATAATATTGTATTATTTAGTCTGCAGGTACCTTTCAGGAGAGGCTGCTTCGGGCTGGTAGCTCCAGGAGGTGCATGGTGGGGGGGTGAAGGTGATTTTGGGGGTGAAGGTGTTGTTGGGGGTGAAGGTGTTTTTGGGGGTGAAGGTGTTGTTGGGGGTGAAGGTGTTTTTGGGGGTGAAGGTCTTGTTGGGGGTGAAGGTCTTGTTGGGGGTGAAGGTGTTTCTGGGGGTGAAGGTGTTTTTGGGGGTGAAGGTGTTGTTGGGGGGGAAAGTGTTTTGGGGGGTGTTCGTCCTCCCCTTCCTCCCACTGACTCCCTGACTCCTCCACCAGCTTCGGGCCGATGGCAGCTCCTCCCTCCTGGAGGAGAAACGTAGCGAGGCGGAGGATACAGCCGGAGAGACGACGAGACTGTCCGAGTTTCCCATCGCTGCTGCAGGAGGAAACCAAGAAGTGAAAACTGAAACACACAAATATATATCTTCTGCATCAGAAGATATTTCCAGATTGACCTCATGGTGGCCTTCGGGCAAAAAAGAAAAGCGCTATGGACCCCCACAGGCACCAACTTTATAATAAAACACAAAGGTTTCTTAACTGGAAGTGTTTGTCAGTATATCTGAAATGAGTAGGTTAGCTGCGTTAGCTAGCTAGCTTACAGCAGATCTGCAGTAACATCAGAAGGAGTCATGTGACCACATTGTTCAAATAAGACCATAAAACATTTTAGGAAAGTTTGTAACAACAGAGACAGTTGTTCAGCTTTATCATCCTGAACGTCACCAAGGTCCCAGCTGTGTGCGTCACTCTTTAGTGTCCCCTAGTCTCCAGCTGTGTGCGTCACTCTTTAGTGTCCCCTGGTCTCCCAGCTGTGTGCGTCACTCTTTAGTGTCCCCTGGTCTCCCAGCTGTGTGCGTCAGTCTTTAGTGTCCCCTGGTCTCTGTTGTGTGCGTCACTCTTTAGTGTCCCCTGGTCTCCCAGCTGTCTGCGTCACTCTTTAGTGTCCCCTGGTCTCCCAGCTGTGTGCGTCACTCTTTAGTGTCCCCTGGTCTCCCAGCTGTGTGCGTCACTCTTTAGTGTCCCCTGGTCTCCCAGCTGTGTGCGTCACTCTTTAGTGTCCCCCTGGTCTCCCAGCTGTGTGCGTCACTCTTTAGTGTCCCCTGGTCTCCCAGCTGTGTGCGTCACTCTTTAGTGTCCCCTGGTCTCCCAGCTGTGTGCGTCAGTCTTTAGTGTCCCCTGGTCTCTGTTGTGTGTGTCACTCTTTAGTGTCCCCTGGTCTCCCAGCTGTGTGCGTCAGTCTTTAGTGTCCCCTGGTCTCCCAGCTGTGTGCGTCACTCTTTAGTGTCCCCTGGTCTCTGTTGTGTTTGAGCTTCTTCATCGCATGTCTCCTCAAGGTGCTGAATGTTCTCTAAACGCTGCATGTGTTGTTCCTTGGGTTTTTATATCTGCATCCTTTCTGAAGCTGTTTCTCCTGATGGAGGAGTTTTAGCGCATTGGCACCTGTCGGCCTCCGTACTAAAAACCCATTATCTCAGATCAAGATCACTAACACTATAAAACACAGTAATCAACAAACAAAGCCATGATGAAGGTGCATGAACAGAAGTGAATACAGCTGTGACAGGAACTACTTCTTCAACAACTACTACCACAACAAGTACTAGAACTATCAGTACTATCACCTCTGCACGTATTTCTACTGCTGCTCCTATTAACTAAAGTTATGATTTCAAGTCTTCATTACATTACATGTCACTTGTTAGACGCTTTTATCCAAAGCGACTTACATACTCAATACTGTGGACAATCCCCACAGGAGCACTTTGGGGTGAAGTGTCTCAGGGACACAACGACTGCAGTGGGGTTTGAACCTGTGACCCCCTGATCCCAACACCAACGCACTAGCCCACTGCGCCACACGCCTCCCCTCTTCCTTCTGGTTTGGTTCAACCAGTGTCCTCTTGTTTTACGTCGTAGGTATTTAACTCAAACAGTGCACATACATGAGTGTTTTGAACTCATTCTGAAATGCTTTTCCATATTCAAATCTCTCTAAGTAACGCAGTCCCAGACGGGCAGACGGGTACAAAAGGAATAAAGTTTTTACCGTTGTGTGTTTGCTGCTCAGTGAAGCTCCTTCATGCTCGTCCTCCTCTCTTCTGAGCCTCCAGCTGCTCCTCCCTCCCCCCCCCTCCTCTCTGAGGGGAGAACAGAGGAAGGGAGGGGCTTCAGACACACTCAGCTTTTGTATAACCTCCCCCCCCTCCCCTCCTTCCTCCCCTCTTTCCTCCCCTCTTCCATGACGTTAAACCAGACTTTTCTGTCCTCTGTTTATTTTGGTTTTGCAGGAATGTCGAGTGATTTTCTCTGAGATCATCACCGCTGCTATTTTAAGAAGCTGCAGCGCCTCAGCCCAGCTTCAGTTTCCACATGTTGGCCAGGCAGGAAGTGTGTAGTTCAGCATGTTTCTAACACAGAAGCCCGGTGTGTAAAACTGCACGAATATATACATATTTCAGTCTGCCATCAGCTCCGTGAAGATCCACTGTGTCTTTCTGTAGCGATCAAACAGCACACACACTCCAGAGACAAGTCAATGCACTGCCACAAAGACAAGTCTGAGTTAATGAAAGTCCTGTGCCTGAGACTAACCGCTCATAAGGGACGAGTCCGAGTCAAAATGCATTCAGACAAAGATAATTTCTAGTCGAACACGAGTCAAAACATCAACAACGCCAAGAGAAGTCCGAGTTAAACAAGTAAAGATGAGCGAGTCCAAGTCCAGTGTCCACAGGAGAACAAGTCTACACGCTTATTAGAGACGAGTCTGAGGCAAAACACAGACAACGCTGAGACAAGTCAGAGTTCAAAGCCAAGAAAAGAGACAGGACACAAGTCCAAGTCAGAGCCCACAAAACAATGAAAAGTCTGAGACCAACACACATGAGAAAGAGACGAGTCCGAGTCCAACATGAGCACCAGAACTTTGACCAAAAACACCAACAACACCGAGACAAGTTCGAGTAAAAGAAACGTCAACGAGTCCGAGAAAAGCCCGATCAACACAATAAAGATTCAGAAGTGCAGACTGGAGACGGAGAGAGTGACAGGTTGGTTTGAGTTGTTTTCTGAAAATAGACTTCAAACCTTGAGACCATTTTGATATCAACATAGATGTGTCTTCAGCCCTGCTATAAAGAAAAGCAGATTCATGTCCTGCTGTACGACAACAGGACTTATCAAAGACTTATCCAGAACCTGTGAGCAGATCTGACCAAAGCTCTTCCTCCAGCAGCAATAAATAACCTTTAAAAACACTTGTTGATTATTAAAACACATGCCTTCTGCAGAATCAGGAGCTCTGAGACTTACTTCCTGAGAGGTCAAAGGGCACGGTGGACTGGAGCTTCAGTGTGCTAACAGAGCGCTAACAGAGAGGGGGGGGGGGGGCGCACAATGAACCCAAACACATCTGACCCCCCCATTGAAACCTGGACAGCTGGGAGACGAGATTTCCCCGCTGAGGGAATATTTGAATTCAACAAGTGTTCCTAGCTGAACTCAAACACTGTTTTTATTCCCTTTTCTAAAAGATAACTCATTGGAGAGACGAGTCCGAGTCCAAATGGGGATCAGAGGAAGACCATTTTACAGTCAAAACACCAACAACGCCATGACGAGTTAAAACCCAAGGAGAGAGAAGAAGACACAAGTCCAAGTCGAACGAACACAAAGAACATTTTGAGTCCAAACACCAATGAGAAGAAGCAAGGTTGAGTCAATGTACCGAGACAAGTTTAAATAAAACGCCAACACAAAGCCGAGACAAGTCCGAGTTCAAACAAGTCCAAGTCCAGTGACGAAGAGAGTCTGAGACTAAGCGCTTATAAGAGACGAGTCAGAGTCAAACTGCAGATCAGACAAAGACATTTTCCAGTCAAAACACCAACAACACCAAAAAGAGTTACAGTTCAAACCCAAGGAAAGAGACGAGACACAAGAAAACACTTTGAGATGTACACATGTAACCTATTATTATTATTTGTGCGCCAAGATCTATATTTTATATCAGGTTGATGTGCAGACCCCCCCCCCCCCATCTTCCCTGTTGTGTGTCTTCTCGCTCAGACGGAGAAACTCTTACTCACTTTTGTCTTCTCCTGTCGGCCATCTGCCACCCCCATTATTATCCAACAAAGACCCTCCTCCCTCCCCCGGGCATATTGGAGGAATTCATTAGAAATGAAAAGAATCTCATTAATACACAGAAGAGGAGGAATGCCACCTGTTCTGCATCTGATCAAACTCTTTACATGTTTAAAGAGTCCTCTATCAGTATGTAGTGTCTCTACTTTAAAGAGTCCTCTCCTGCTGATGTTCAGGTGTATATCAGTATGTAGTGTCTCTACTTTAAAGAGTCCTCTCCTGCTGATGTTCAGGTGTATATCAGTATGTAGTGTCTCTACTTTAAAGAGTCCTCTCCTGCTGATGTTCAGGTGTATATCAGTATGTAGTGTCTCTACTTTAAAGAGTCCTCTCCTGCTGATGTTCAGGTGTATATCAGTATGTAGTGTCTCTACTTTAAAGAGTCCTCTCCTGCTGATGTTCAGGTGTATATCAGTATGTAGTGTCTCTACTTTAAAGAGTCCTCTCCTGCTGATGTTCAGGTGTATATCAGTGTGTAGTGTCTCTACTTTAAAGAGTCCTCTCCTGCTGATGTTCAGGTGTATATCAGTATGTAGTGTCTCTACTTTAAAGAGTCCTCTCCTGCTGATGTTCAGGTGTATATCAGTATGTAGTGTCTCTACTTTAAAGAGTCCTCTCCTGCTGATGTTCAGGTGTATATCAGTATGTAGTGTCTCTACTTTAAAGAGTCCTCTCCTGCTGATGTTCAGGTGTATATCAGTGTGTAGTGTCTCTACTTTAAAGAGTCCTCTCCTGCTGATGTTCAGGTGTATATCAGTATGTAGTGTCTCTACTTTAAAGAGTCCTCTCCTGCTGATGTTCAGGTGTATATCAGTATGTAGTGTCTCTACTTTAAAGAGTCCTCTCCTGCTGATGTTCAGGTGTATATCAGTGTGTAGTGTCTCTACTTTAAAGAGTCCTCTCCTGCTG